ATGAGCGGGGAGGAGCAGATCGCCCGCATGAAACGCCACCAGAGCGGCTCGATGAAGGAGAAGCGGCGCAGCCTGCAGCTCCCCAGCAGCCAGCAGCCCGACACCCCCGGCACGAAGGCACCCACCTCCTACAAGGTGGTGAGTCCCTGCGTCGGCCATGGGGCTGGGGCAAACCGGCCTTTGCTTTGCAGGGTGCCTGAGGTCCCTGATGGAGCAGAGGGGACGATGAGGGGTGGGGAAGAGGACAGCGTGCCAGCCCAAGGGGGCTCAGCGGGGCTGGGGTCCCTCGCAGGTGCGTCGGCACCGCAGTGTCCATGAGGTGGACATCTTACAAGGTGGTGAGTCCCTGCGTCGGCCATGGGGCTGGGGCAAACCGGCCTTTGCTTTGCAGGGTGCCTGAGGTCCCTGATGGAGCAGAGGGGACGATGAGGGGTGGGGAAGAGGACAGCGTGCCAGCCCAAGGGGGCTCAGCGGGGCTGGGGTCCCTCGCAGGTGCGTCGGCACCGCAGTGTCCATGAGGTGGACATCTCTGACCTGGAAGCAGCGCTGCGTTCCGATGATCCTGGCAAGGTCTACGAGACACCCCAGGAGGAGATCGCCCGGCTGCGCAAGACGGAGCTGGAGCCGCAGCACTACGACGTGGACATCAACAAGGAGGTGAGGACGGGCTGGCCCGGGGGAGCTGGCAGCCTGGGCGTGGGGCATCCCACCCTCTGCACCCTGCGCCGGGGGGTTAATCATCAGCGGCGCTGAGTCTGATTGGAGGCCGGTAACTAGTGGTGTCCCCCTGGGGTCAGTACTCGGCCCAGTCTTGTTCAGCTTCTTCATCAATGACCTGGATGAAGAGTTAGAGTGTACCCTCAGCAAGTTTGCTGATGATACAAAACTGGGAGGAGTGGTAGATACATCAGAAGGCTGTGCTGCCGTTCAGCAAGACCTGGACAGGCTGGAGAGTTGGGCAGAGAGGAACCTGATGAGGTTCAACCAGTGCAAGGGCAGGGTCCTGCACCTGGGGAGGAACAACCCCAGGCACCAGTACAGGCTGGGGC